TTTTTTTTTTTTTCAAACGATAGATTCACAACCAGCTGCTAACTACTCGAAGAAGGGAGGCATGCCACCAAGCGGTAGCCTAAAACATAAAAACTAAAAACTTGGACAGTACACGTTCCCCAACAGGAGAATACACACTTCTAAACCAGAAATTCTATGGTGTCACATGTGGCACCATATTATGGTGCCACAACATGATGTGGCACATTATAATTGGTGTCACACTATCACACATCATATTGTAGCACCAATCATAATGTGTCACATCATGTTGTGGCACCATAATATGGTGCCACATGTGACACCATAGAATTTCTGCTTCTAAACAGGAGAAAAATACAAATGCACTCTAACAATACTAAACAAACACAAACAAAAAAGCACAAACTCCTAAAACAAACAAAATCTAAAAAGCTAAATCCCTCCCCACCGAACTGGAAAGCCCAGCACCACCACACCCCGAGCAAACACCCATCGTGAACTACCGAGAAAACCACGAGATCCACAGCCAACCATAATGGATCAGGAAACTCCACCAATGGGCTAACCATATTCGAACCACAAACTCGATAGTCCCTCCCAGTACTCCACAAACCCAACCAGGCCGGACCACTACAGGAAAAATTGGAGATATCGTCTTGTAAGTGGTACATATTTAAAGTTTGGTCCTCCCAGATACCGAAAAATGCAGGTCACTTTTACCGGCTAGTCTATGTAGAATTTTACCTGATTTTTCTTTTTTTTGCTGAGTTGTAAACCACGTGTAATACAGGTCTTAACGCCCGACCGACCAAGAACCGCTTCGAGCTTGCCTTCCTTGCCGGTAGAACGCCGAACCTGCACGTAACTCTCACACCGGAGGTGTTTCCCGGTGAAGAGCCTCCAACGCTCAAGTCAGATCTTGAGAGAGATCAAAATATATGTATCAGTATGTAAGGATATATGAGGTTGTGTCTAAAGTGAGAATTCTCCTCCTTATTTATAGGGACGAGCTACCTGTTCTCACGCGCGAGCTAGGCGAGTCTGGTTGGCAGCCCTCCTGCTCGTCTGTACAGCCGCGCGCCTCTACTTTATTTGGTGTCAGAAAACGCGTTAGAGATGTCAGGGAATGTCAGAGTCCGTTATCGCTGTTCGCTAATTATTTTTGCTATCCGCAAGTGTACGGCGTAGCTATAGATAGCGGCGAGCAAGGTCGTATTCCACAGAGACTGTTGTTTAAACCAATTAAGTACCAAAATATCGACGATTAAATATTATCTAGACTAATGCAAATTCGATTGGAGTTTTTATTCTAAACTAATGAATGAATGCAAAAATAAATTCTAACACTAATGAAGGCTTGTTCTAAATAAATCAAGAATGAGAAAATAGATTCTAGGCTATGCTTTCCTCGGGATAATTCTAGCGAAGTTTTCATATTCATTCAAACCTTATTTAATTCTACCAATCGTAGGGATAATCGCTAAAGTAATTTACAACTTTCTCTCGAACAAGTTAAATCGTAGATATTAATTGCTATCTATCTCCTCTCGGTCTCAAGATGAACAACTAACTCCCATAAGCTCCTAAGATTCTAGTTCCCTCGCAAGATTCTATCAACCTCTCGGTCTGTTTAGTCTCTTACGTTATGAATTTCCCAATTCTAGCAATCAACTATCTCCTCTCGGTCTCAAGCCAATCACAAATATGCATAAATACGGGCCCTATATTCACACAATTCATATAATCACAAGAAACTGATAAACGAAAGATAGACCTGAATGAATAAACAAAATTACTTCATAAAATAATCTGAGTACTCGCAAATCCTAGAATCTCAAAGAGATTTAGCTACTAAACATATTCTCAATACTCAAAATAAATAAATCCATGAGTTCAATGAAGAAGAAAAAGCGAAAAGAAAGAAGAACTATTGTTGCCGTTAGTTCCCGGATCTTCAATCTTGACTTCCTCGAATCCCTCGTGTGTTTCGTGCTTTCTCCAGGCCTCCAATGGTGTCAAAAGTCCCAAAACCGTGTTCTTTATGTTCCTTATATACTGTAGGGCAAATATGGGTGGAAAAAGGGATCAAATCCCGCAGGTTTCCTATTTTCCGCTGGTTTAACTGCGCGTCACACGACTCGTGTCACAAGCCACACGAGTCGTGTGACTTGTCTTCAATTTTCGGCAAACTTCCAGGTTCACACGAGCAACCCACACGAGAAGCCACACGAGTCGTGTGAGCCCACACGACCCGTGTCATGAGCCACACGACTCGTGTGGTAAAGCCGCAGCAAAACTCCGATTTTTCTCACCCCACACGACTCGTGTCACTCTCCACACGAGTCGTGTGACCTTCCTGTACCTTATTTTCGTCGTTTTTCGTCCCGATTCCATCTTTAACTCTTTTTCGGGCATATGTCCTACAAAACCAACGACAAATATACCTCCATCATAGATTAATAAATCAAACAAAATGGTGCACAAACCCACGATAAACACGGTCAAACATCACAATGTATCACTCATAATGCATGAAAATATGATGAATGTCAACTCCCTCAAACTTAAACCCTTGCTCGTCCCCGAACAAGAACAAGAAAATCAAAACTCAAACATAATGAGTGATATCAACTAGAACAGCTTTAAGTACTTCAATGCAACCAAGAAAAATTCAGGTGATCATAACTATCATGCTTTCGACTACTTACTTGTGTCTACCTTGAATCAGCGAACCCTCAAATAGGAATAATATAAGTGTCACTCACATGTCATCAATAGGGAAAGATACGCTCAGGTCAAATCAAACACCCGGTTAACTATATGTTTGCCAATCATCTAACACCATACTTCAAACACAACTAGTAATTATGAGCTTTAAATCAAAAGGTCTTCTCGGGTTGTAATGTAGGCTATTTGGTCAAAGGTAGGATATATATGGGTAAAGTGGCTCAAATAAACAAACATACCATTCGAGTAAATAGACTACTCGACTATTCCGCTACTCATCCCTAATCAACATCAGTGTTTCTCATCCCCAAACCAAAATAATTCATACACAACTCATAAATGCTCAAATCAAATCACAAAGAGAGTAATTGACCGTTTTTTTTTTTTCTTTTCTTTTTTTTTTCTTTTCTTCTTTTCTTTTTTTTTCAAGGGGAGTTTACTTCTTCCAAACAAGATCAAACCGTAAGGACAACATTTCCTAGATATAAACATTGGAGGTCATCCAAGTATCCTAGAGTAGTTTCCCATACTCATTACTTGTTAAACTTAATCAACTCGTAAGAGGAGTAGAATCCCGACAGTTCGACTTGCGAGCTCCCTTTATTATCATTTTTTTTTCATTTTTTTTTCTTATACGGTCAAGCACCTTAAACGCGACTCAATCACGCCGCATTCCATATCCAATCATTCAATAAATAACACCGTTATCCCAATACATCCCAAACAATAGTCAACTCTTCAAAATAAACAAGATAATCTGGTCGAAAAGAAAAGGGGCATAAGGCTCAAACGGACTACTAGTGAAAAATATTTTTAAGGACAATGAAACAAGGCCAAACGAGCTAAATCAAAAACCGCCTAAATCATTTTTAAAGCTCATAATCACCAATGCATTTTTTTCAAGTGAGAATTAAGGCAAATTCTAATAACTCGGACATTCAATTTGACACACACAACAAGGAATAAAGGCTCACGTCTCACTAGGCTCAATATATCGCTAATTCACGGGGCACAAGCATTTTCATCTAGGCATGACAAATCACAACCCATCACAATCTCTCGATCACATCAAATTACCATCCACCATTCAAGTTATACATCCCATCAAATCAAAAGCACACAATACACGAGAGATAGACTCCAAATAAAATCCACTCCTAGAAAGCAAATAAACGTGCAAACAAGTACATAAAAAGTAAAATAAACTAATGCAACCTATATGCAATGCAAGATACTGGGATAAGAACCTAAGATATGCCACACCCCTCCCCCAAACTTATTCTTTCGAGAAAGAACAAATACAAAAGAGAAAGTGGTATATCTTAGGGGACTAACTTCCTGAAATCACGGCTGAGGAGGGGGAAAATGTCCATCGTGTCGCTGCATCCAGTCAAATATCTGCTGGAAGGCATTCGTCATCCGCTCCTCTATACGCTGGTAGCCGCTATCCATCCTCTGCTCCAGCCGAGCCGTAGACGCACAGTTCTCATCCCTCCAACCCCGTACGTCTGTCGTCAGCGTGCGCATACCCTGCTCGAGCATCTCCATCCTCTGATCCATGTCAGGCTCTTGACGACGACGCCTCTGCCTCTGCTGCCGCTGCCGCTGCTCAGATGCTCTAGAGGACTCCGGTATGTCCTCGTATGGTCCCGGCTGCTCAGGTCTCGAACCATCTCCCACATACTGCACAAGGGCACCTACATCCTCGCCCTCGAAGGCTGCTATCTCATCCTCCTCCTCATCCTTGGCTGCTCGGTCAGCCGGATTCAGCCGCGGGGCGAGTCTCCGAAGATCCCCCACTACCGGTCTCTCCGCTATGGCTCGTGTGTGCTCGGGGGTATCCATCTTCAAATTTCCCTCACTGTGGAGCACCGTCAACTGTGGGTAGGGGAGAGGAAAATAGTCTGTCAGAAGCTTCTGTACGAAAAACATCTGACCTCGCAGATCAGTCCTCAGATAGTTCATGTGAACCAGGGCCGCCAAATCTAGCGAATCATCCCCCCGGACTCGCTCCCATCCGGCGTAGTCAATCTTCAGATGGTCGGCGATCATCGTCACGGCCCCACCACACCGGAGTATGTCTGACTCTCCTCGACTCATACGGCACAAATGCTCGCCGACGAACCATCCTAACACGGGCTTCCTCTGCTCCATCAAACTCCAAAGAATGAAGGCTTCGGTCTTCGTGACCGTCCCACTCTCCTTCCTAGCGAACAACGTACTCGCAATCACCCGGTGCACATAACGGAGCACCGGGTTGCGGATGTCCGCTGCCTTCACTGACCCTCGGGCAAACTGGAACGGTCCTCCTCCTTCAGAACTCAGCGTAATGGACCGCCAGAACCCCGACTCGTCATACGTACTCAAGTCGATAAAAACTCCTCGTCCTCCAAAACATGCATTGAGCCCCGCTTCATCGAGACTCCAATCTTGATTGTTCAACCGGAAGGTAATCATCTCCAACTGGTTGGTCATCGCCCTTTTCTTCTTCTCCACGGTGCTCAAGAACTCGAGCAGCATCCTCCTATAAGTCCCCGGTCGAGTACCGAAGACTCCAGCCAATCTGATCCTGCTCCAAAGAGGCCTCACCGCCTCATGTATGCCAATCGCTCGCTCGGTGGCCTCATCCGGATATCGTGTAGGCCTTATCGCCATCTGTGCGAGTCGGGTCCATCTCTCCCTCTGCCAGTCGTGTGGCAGTATAACTCCCAACTCGCTCCCGGGAGTCGCTTCGGCCTCGACATTCTCAGTAACTCGCGCTCGTGGATTATTCGATGGAGGAGGGTTCGGTGGACAGTTAGCACGAGGTGGGACACCGACACCCCCGCTATTCCTTGTTTGCCTACGATTGGTCATTTTGTACCTACATTTGCAAATTAAATATATCAACCTCAAAATCAATAATAATCACCACCAAGCTTCACAGTATCTCCACAATCAACACAGAACTCCCCTCTTTTCAAAAGGAACAATATCATCAAACTACAAGTCGTCCTACTACAACCATCACCTCATCTCAACACCAATTCATCAATACATCAACATTAATCCAAAATCACATAATATCCCCACAATCAACATTCAACATATATTTCAAACATTCTAACTCTGAAAAATCATGAGCCCATCAATTTAACAAAACTTCATCACAAATCATCCATTACTCATTCTCCTAATCACAAAATATCACAAATTCACACAACATTAGTAAGGCAAAGAACATATTCACTTAAGCTTCAAAAATAACTCAACTCAAGGTAAACATAACTCTCGTCCCAATATCAAACAATTTGGGCTAAGAATCATATGGAAAAGAGTGCAAAAATCATCAAGTAAAACACGCACATGAGGTGTTCGATCAAATTCCCCAAAGAGTTCTTAACCCTAACATCAAGTTAATGCTCAAAACACATCACCCATACCTCAAATCGACGTCCAAAACGTAAAACTACAAGTGAAGGGAAGAAAATTCGTACCTTTGATGATGAATTCGAGCAAAATCCAAAATATGAAAAACCCTAGGTTGTAGACCACCGAATTTTCTTCACTTTCTCAAGCAATTTTCGTAAGTAAGAGATTATGAAGTGTGTGTGTGTGTGTGAATTTCGTGAAGAAATCGAGCACAAGAAGCAAAATAAATCGAAAAATCGGAAGACACGAAAGAGATGCGAGAGAGAGGCGGGCGGATCGTGTGGGAGAAGTGAAGAAGAAAAAGCCCTTTTAAAATCTGACCTGCTCGTCACACGACCAGTGTCTTAATGACACACGAGTCGTGTCGTCGTATATAAAAAACATGAAAAATCCGCCCAGCCTCACACGGGTCGTGTCCAAGTAACACACGACCCGTGTTACGTCACACGACTCGTGTCCTACGACCACACGGGTCGTGTGAGTAAGCCGAACCTAAACTCGAAATTTTTTTTTTCTCCCCAGGTCACACGAGCCGTGTCACAAGGCCACACGACTCGTGTGGACCTGGGACCCCCCTTTTTTTTTTGAATATTAAAATCAAAACTAAGCCTATTATAAAGAAAAACTATACACTAAATCATTGGGTTCCCTCCCAATAAGCGCTTAATTTAACGTCTTTAGCTAGACGGATACCTGGCAAACCTTTAGTCGTTCAAATAGACGATGAAGATCGTCTTGGCTTGCTCCGGGCTGAAATACGGTTTAATCCGCTGAGCATTCACTACGAATGTGGTGCCGTCACTTACCGCCAACTCCACGGCTCCATTTGTCATCATCTTCGTAATTACGAACGGTCCAGACCACCTCGACTTGAACTTACCAGGAAAGAGCCTGAGACGCGAATTGAAGAGTAGAACTTGATCACCTTCAGCAAATTCTCGCTTCCTAATCAATTTGTCATGGTATCTCTTCGTCTTCTCCTTGTAGATACGAGAACTCTCATACGCCTCTGTGCGAAACTCGTCCAATTCGTTGAGCTGCAACTTTCTTTCGAGCCCGACTTTTTCGAAGTCGAGATTAATCTTCCCCATAGCCCAATAAGCCCTGTGCTCCAATTCAACAGGCAAGTGACATGATTTACCAAATACCAATTGATATGGAGACATACCTAGAGGAGTCTCGTACGCCGTCCGATAAGCCCACAATGCGTCGTTGAGGTGATTCACCCAATCCTTACGACTTCCAATGACTTTCTCGAGCACTTGCTTGATCTCCCGATTAGCCAACTCGGCTTGCCCATTAGCTTGTGGATGGTATGCCGTCGTCACTTTATGCTTCACTCCATACTTGGCAAGGAGACTTCCAAGCCACTTATTACAAAAATGCGACCCACCATCGCTAATCAACGCTCTCGGAGTCCCAAAGCGTGTAAGGATATTCGCCCTCAAAAATTTCAGCACCTCCTTAGCATCATTGGTCTTGGTCAGCACCGCCTCAACCCATCTCGAAACATAGTCCACTGCCAAAAGAATATACTTGGACCCATAAGACACCGGAAAAGGTCCCATAAAATCGATCCCCCATACGTCAAAGAGTTCCACCTCAATGATGTTGGTGAGGGGCATCTCATCTCGCCTAGAAATTCCTCCCGTCCGTTGGCACCTATCACAAGATAACACGAACCAGTGACAATGTTTATAAATGGACAGCCAATAGAAGCCGCTTTGCAACACCTTGATGGCAGTTCAGTTTCCCGCGAAGTGACCTCCTCCTGGTGATGAATGACATTGCCTCATGACTTCTCCCCATTCCTCTTCGGGAACACACCTTCTAATAACCATGTCCGCGCACCTCCGGAATAAGTATGGCTCGTCCCAATAGTAGAACTTCACATCATGAAAGAATTTCTTCCTCGCATAATAGGACAAATCCGGAGGTGGTACGCCCGACACCAGATAATTCACATAATCGGCGTACCAAGGTAGGTGGGCCCGAACGTGCATCATGTGCTCATCCGGAAAATCTTCATTAATAGGGACCAACCGATCATCCCCTTCAACTGGGCCCTCCAATCGAGATAAATGGTCCACCACAACATTCTCGCATCCCTTCCGGTCCCGGATTTCTAGATCAAACTCTTGAAGTAAGAGCACCCATCGAATCAATCTTGGCTTGGCATCCTTCTTCGCCATGAGGTGTCGAATTGCCGCATGATCGGTAAACACGATTGTCTTCGTCCCAACAAGTTAGGGTCGAAACTTGTCAAACGCATACACCACCGCTAGCACCTCTTTCTCCGTAGTCGTGTAATTTACTTGAGCCGGATCCAACGTCTTGCTCGCATAATAAATCACTCGAAAGAGTTTATCTCGCTTTTGGCCCAAAGCGACCCCCACGGCTACATCACTCGCATCGCACATCAACTCGAACGGTTGTTCCCAATCCGGCACAATCAAAATAGGAGCACTAATAAGGGCCTTCTTCAATGTCTAAAAAGCCTGCAAACACTTCTCACTAAAATCAAATGTAACATCTTTTTCTAACAAAACACTAAGAGGTTTAGCAATTTTAGCAAAATCACGAATGAACCTCCTATAAAATCCCGCATGGCCCAAGAAACTTCTTACCGACTTCACGTTCGTAGGAGGTGGAAGTTTTTCAATGGCTACAATTTTTGCCCGATCTACCTCAAGTCCCGCGGAAGACACACGATGCCCAAGAACTATACCTTCCTTCACCATAAAGTGACATTTCTCCCAATTTAAAACAAGGTTAGTTTCTTCACATCGCTGCAACACTCGAGATAAATTAGCCAAACAATTATCAAATGAAGTACCAAACACCGAAAAATCATCCGTAAACACCTCCATAATATTCTCAATTAAATCATGAAAAATTGCCATCATACATCTTTGAAAGGTAGTAGGAGCATTACATAAACCAAAAGGCATCCTACGATAAGCAAAAACACCATAAGGACATGTAAAAGCCGTCTTCTCTTAGTCTTCCGGAGCTATCAAAATTTGATTGTATCCGGAATAACCATCAAGAAAACAATATAAATCATAACCCGCTAACCTATCAAGCATTTGATCCACAAAAGGCAAAGGAAAGTGATCCTTACGAGTAGCGGCATTTAATTTACGATAATCAATACAAACACGCCAATCTGTCAAAAGCCTAGTAGCAACAACACCATCATGCTCATCTTTCACAATAGTCATCCCCCCTTTTTTAGCCACAACTTGTGTAGGACTAACCCATTCACTATCAGAAATAGCAAAAATCATTCCCGCATCTAACAATTTAAGGACCTCCTTTCTTACTACTTCTTGCATAATTGGATTTAGCCTACGTTGATTTTGAACACATGGCTTATAATTATCCTCAAGCAAAATTCTATGCATGCAAATAGAGGGACTAATACCTTTTAAATCACTAATCGACCACCCAATCGCCGATTTATGCCCTCTTAAGACTCTTAATAGTCTCTCAAGTTCCGAATTAGAAAGGTAAGAAGAAACGATTACCGGAAACGTGTCATTCTCTCCAAGATATGCATACTTCAAGTGCTCCGGTAAAGGTTTCAACTCTAACTTCGGGACTCCATCTTTCTTTTCTCCTTGACTTGCACTTGGTCCCAGCTCATCACGTCTCAACTCCAAAAATGCGGCCTGCCTCTTCGGGATTTCCCTACAAGAATCCAACACATTAACACATTTAAATAATTTTTCTTGAAAAGGATTAAACGAAGAAGAAGAAGAAAATAATGATTTTTGAACGCATAGATCAAAAGGGTCTTTAGACGAAGAAGTAATCATGTCATTGTCGAAGGAAGCCTCGACAACTTCAATCACTTTACATTCTTCGATCTCACCATCCTCATTATTATTCTTCATCGCTTGATATATGGAAAATGTGATGTTCTCTTCATCAACTCGGAGAGTAAGCTCGCCATTCTTCACATCAATCAACGCTCCCCCGGTTGCAAGAAACGGACGACCCAAAATTAGTGGAACCTCCTTATCCTCCTCCATGTCAAGGACCACAAAATCAGCCGGGAAGATAAACCCCTCGACTTTCACCAATACGTCTTCCACAATCCCCTTCGGATAAGACAAGGATCTATCCGCCATTTGCAATGCAATCGTAGTGGGCCTAATCGTCCCAATCTCCAACCTCTTGAAAATTGATAGTGGCATGAGATTGATGCTTGCTCCCAAGTCGCATAACACTTTCCCGAACCGCTTTCCTCCTATAATGCATGCAATTGTGAAGCTCCCGGGATCCTTGCGTTTGAAAGACATCTTCTTTTAGATCATAGCACTACACTCCTCCATCAAATTCACCTTCTCATACGCTTTGAGCTTCTTCTTCCTAGATACCATGTCCTTCAAGAACTTGGCATATTTGGGCATCTCCTGCAATGCATCAACAAGCGGAATATTTATTTGAACTTTAGTAAATATTTCACGAAATTTGGCATATTGTTCGTCAATTTTTTTCTTTGCAAAACGTTGAGGAAAAGGTAAAGGAATATTAGGAGTAGAAGTGTTAGAAGTAGATTTTGGCTTCTCAGCTCCTGTAATTGTCGATTTTAGGGGCTCCACTACTACTTCCTCAACTTCTTCCTCTTCCTTGCTTTCCTTAGGCTCGACTTTTCCCGGCTCATTAGTTGGCATCCTCCGTCCCTCATACTCCAAGCCACTCCTTAGACGGATGGCTTTGCATTGTTCCTTCGGATTCACCTCTGTGTTGCTCGGAAATTGTCCCCTCTGCTGTAGACTTCCAACTGCCGTGGCCAACTGTCCAATTTGTTGTTCCATTGACTTCATTTGCTTCTCCAAGGTAGAGTGCTTAGCCTGAGATTCGCCCATGAATTGTTGCGTTTGAGTCATGAACGAGGCGAACATATCTTCGATTGTCGGCTTCTTTGGCTCATTGATGACCCCGTTGGTCACCGAAAATCCGGGAGGTGGTTGTAGAGCATTATCCGGGTTTGCATATGATAAACTGGGGTGATTCCGGTTGCATTGGTAATAAGTGTTCCCCGCTTGAGGTCCTCGAAAATTCCCAAAATTCCGATTATTCACATAATTCACGTCCTCGACCGGTTCCCCAACTCCTAAGCTCTCAGCCTTTCCTCCTTGCATGTTGTTTATCACCAATGCTGCTATTTGAGCCGCCATCGAAGCGGCTGAGTCCGCCTCATTCGTAGCCGCCACTCTCTTGAGCATAGTCCTCTCAACCGACCACTGATAGCTATTCGATGCCATCTCCTCAAGAATTCGCTTCGCGTCGTTCGGTCGCCTTCCCAAAAGGGCACCTCCAGCTGAGGCGTCCACCATAGCCTTCATCGGGCCACTCAATCCATTATAGAAATAGCAAATTTGGTGCTCTTCCGAAAATCCATGCTGTGGGAACGTCCGAAGGAGTTGCGTGTAACGCTCCCAGGCCTCGTATAAAGGCTCACCATCTTGTTGCTTGAATTGAGTGATCTCCGTCTGAAGTCTCAACATCTTACTCGGTGGGAAGAACTTCAAGAGAAATTTCTGACGCATCTCATCCCATGTTGTCACTGTCCCGGCCTCAAGAGAATTGTACCACACCTTGGCTTTATCTCTAAGAGAGAAAGAGAAAAGCCTAAGCCGGATAGCGCCCCCCGGGACTCCATTGTACTTCATTGTACCACATATCTCCAGAAATTGTGCCAGATGCGCATTCGGGTCCTCGATTGCAGCTCCCCCAAACTGCTCTTGCTGCACCATTCGAATCAAGGACGGGCTCAACTCAAAAGTATTAGCCGCAATTCTCGGCCGGTGACCTCCTCCGTATACTTGATCAGTATGGGGTTGGAAGATGTTCCGAACCGGTGTTCCTGTCTCTTGTTGAGCCTGATGCGCAACCAGTTGGTGTTGTAGCTCCGCCATTTGTGCCTCGAGCTGTCTATATCTCTCTTCACCTTGTTCCTCCATTGCACCTCTCAGTCGTTGTTGTAGTCTCCGATTTGCGTTGTTCCTTCGACAACTAGCTTCAATCCCGGGGTCAAATTTCGCGGGTGAATTCCCACTAGACCTCGTAATCATGCACGTGCCTGTCAAAACACACAAACCAAAAAGGATGCAATTAAGAACCAAAGTATTAAACAAAAATAAAAATGACTAAAGTAATATCTACCCGTCTTCTTCTAATATTAATAGTTTAAACAAAACAGTCCCCGACAACGGCGCCAAAAACTTGTTCGCTAATTATTTTTGCTATCCGCAAGTGTACGGCGTAGCTATAGATAGCGGCGAGCAAGGTCGTATTCCACAGAGACTGTTGTTTAAACCAATTAAGTACCAAAATATCGACGATTAAATATTATCTAGACTAATGCAAATTCGATTGGAGTTTTTATTCTAAACTAATGAATGAATGCAAAAATAAATTCTAACACTAATGAAGGCTTTTTCTAAATAAATCAAGAATGAGAAAATAGATTCTAGGCTATGCTTTCCTCGGGATTATTCTAGCGAAGTTTTCATATTCATTCAAACCTTATTTAATTCTACCAATCGTAGGGATAATCGCTAAAGTAATTTACACCTTTCTCTCGAACAAGTTAAATCATAGATATTAATTGCTATCTATCTCCTCTCGGTCTCAAGATGAACAACTAACTCCCATAAGCTCCTAAGATTCTAGTTCCCTCGCAAGATTCTATCAACCTCTCGGTCTGTTTAGTCTCTTACGTTATGAATTTCCCAATTCTAGCAATCAACTATCTCCTCTCGGTCTCAAGCCAATCACAAATATGCATAAATACGGGCCCTATATTCACACAATTCATATAATCACAAGAAACTTATAAACGAAAGATAGACCAGAATGAATAAACAAAATTACTTCATAAAATAATCCGAGTACTCGCAAATCCTAGAATCTCAAAGAGATTTAGCTACTAAACATATTCTCAATACTCAAAATAAATAAATCCATGAGTTCAATGAAGAAGAAAAAGAGAAAAGAAAGAAGAACTATTGTTGCCGTTAGTTCCCGGATCTTCAATCTTGACTTCCTCGAATCCCTCGTGTGTTTCGTGCTTTCTCCAGGCCTCCAATGGTGTCAAAAGTCCCAAAACCGTGTTCTTTATGTTCCTTATATACTGTAGGGCAAATATGGGTGGAAAAAGGGATCAAATCCCGCAGGTTTCCTATTTTCCGCTCGTTTAACTGCGCGTCACACGACTCGTGTCGTGTGACTTGTCTTCAATTTTCGGCAAACTTCCAGGTTCACACGAGCAACCCACACGAGAAGCCACACGAGTCGTGTGAGCCCCCACGACCCGTGTCATGAGCCACACGACTCGTGTGGTAAAGCCGCAGCAAAACTCCGATTTTTCTCACCCCACACGACTCGTGTCACTCTCCACACGAGTCGTATGACCTGCCTGCACCTTATTTTCGTCGTTTTTCGTCCCGATTCCATCTTGAACGCTTTTTCGGGCATATGTCCTACAAAACCAACGACAAATATACCTCCATCATAGATTAATAAATCAAACAAAATGGTGCACAAACCCATGATAAACACGGTCAAACATCACAATGTATCACTCATAATGCATGAAAATATGATGAATGTCAATCGTCGTGGACCACTCGCAAAGCGACGCGTGTCCTCCTTCCACGTGCTGGAGATTCTTTCTTCTATGAGACTCGACCGGATCTGCAACGGATGTAGAGCTGTCCCTGAGATAAGAGGTGGTCGTGTCCACGACCACGCCAGTCTGATCGTTTTCTTCGACCAATTCCTCGAGTAGCTGGTGCTCGTCTTACCATTGCTGGACCCACTTCTTCGTCGTCTACCTTCTTTCCTCCCTTGCAGATGTTCGGCACAATTCGACCAGGCTGCTGATCTGTTTTATTCGGCTAACCCGACGAACCAGTCCAGTGTATAATATCCCATATCAACGTGGAATATGTGGCATAATCACAAAAAATATGGAGAGGAGGGGGTTCGATCCCGGGGTGATGGGCCTTTCAAGGGGTTTATAAGCCAATTGACTGAAGAAGAATTAGTGTTAAAATTTGATCTCAATTATAAATCTATGTAGAACGTTTAATCAGAAAATAATATATATATATATATATATATATATATATATATATATTTAATTTATACTACTTTTAATTATAAAACTAATACATAATTTTTTTACTAAATATATATTAATTATAAAATAAAAATCAGTAAATTAAATAAATAAATATATATAGTATTATACATATAATTACCTTGTTTAATTAAAATTTTAGTATCATTAATGTTGTTTTTATATGCTAATTTATATTATTAAATTTTAATTGATTTTTTATATATTTAATAAATATATACTTAATAAATAAATATATTAAATAACATAATAAATAAATATAGTAAATAATTCTACTTTATTTTAACATATATATATTAAAAATAATATTTAATATTTAAATAAATAAATAAATTAAATAATATATTAGTATAAATATATATAAAATAGTAAATATATAAATAACTATATACATATATTAAAGGTTGTTGATATTGACTTAATATATAATAAATAAATAACTTTTTGTTTTATTAAATATTTACTAATTAGATATTTATCATATTTAATTAAATTTAATTTGAATATTAAATAAATATTTTCTAAATAAATAAATATATTAAGTACTTTAATAAATAAATATATTATATTATATAATATAATATAATAAATAAATTAAATAACATGATAAAAATTTAAATATTTGCTAAATAGATAAATTTATTCAGTAATATAATAAATAAATATATTAACCCTAATTTAATTTTAATAAGATAAATAAAATAGCGCTCCCGACGAACCCTACCCCCAAAAAACCCACTCCTCGTCCCTCTGCAATTAATCTGCTGCGCCTCTCCCAACGACGGCAACGCCACGGCCAGGGGTCGTCCTTGACCGCCTGGCCCTTCTCTGGTTAGAGTGACCCCGATTAAACCTTGGAGTTTCGCGGCGGAGTTAGGTCAATTGGGGGCAGGGATGGCCTCGGTCGGCGACGACAGCCTCCAGGTATGGCGCTTCGCAGGCGGTTCGGGTCTCCACCTCAATTTCCGGCGGGAGCTGCTCCGTGGAGGTAAGGCTGTTCACTTTCCCCTTCTCTGCTGTCGATTGGGTGTTTCTTCTCCGGTGGGTTTGCCTGCTCCGGAGGGGCTGGGCTTTAGTCGCCGGAGCTCCGAGGTTGTTTGGTGCGTCGCTTGTTCTGAGAGGAGGGTTAGGGCTCCGATCCCTGCGACTTGGTTGTTGTGGTGGTTGGGGTTAAGGGTGCGACCTCCCTTGTGCGTGCCCGACCGACTAGTGGTGTTAGGCGGCGGGGATCCGTGTTCTTTCGAGCTTGCTGAGTTCGAGTGGAGCCGGTGCGAGGGCTGGTGGCGGCTCTTTCGGTTGACGATGGGTCGATTCTGGGATCGGTTCGGGACTCGGTGTCTTCTATTGTATAGGCAGCAGGCAGTTTCGGTAGCGGATTCTCGAGTAGGGATCTTTCTTGTGTCGATCGTCCACTGCTGGTTGGGTTTGTCTGCTCGCTGGGGGAGGGCTCCTCTTCTTTTTTTTTTTTATAGTTTTCCTCTTTATTTGTCTGTTTGTTTGTGTTTGTTTTATGTTTGTGATCGTGTTTTAGGTTTGGGCCGTTGGCCTCTGTGCATCCAGATGTCAAATATATTACTCCGATTGGGGTCCGACATTCCGGTATTACCCTGTGGGGGTCTTGTCTTGTTGTTTTAGTCGTTGTCTATTACCCTGTGAGGGTCTTATCTAGTTGTTTAGTTTAGTTGCGAGTTTTTCTTCCTAGCGGTTGCTAGCCGGGTTTCTAGGCGGTCTTCGGACATGTCCTCCCACTTTTCAGCCGTTGGCTGCTTGTATTCGCACACTTGTGCGCTTTTGATTTATAATAATATCTATCGTTTCGGAAAAAAAAAGATAAATAAAATAAAACATAAATGATAATAAAAATTTTATTAAAAAATACTATATTTAGTATTTATTTATTTTAGTTTCATTATTTAATTACTAAATTTATTAAATATGTATTAATTACAAAATAAAAATCAGTACACTAAATAAATAACTAAACAATATCATTATTTTTTCTAATTATATGTATACTTAATTATATTTTAGTGTATTATATTATTTAAGATATATATATTAATAATGATAAAACGAAATAAAAATAATAAATAACAAAACACTTTATATTATTTGTTTTTTAATTATATATTTTATTTAGTTATAGTTTTTTTTATTATGTATTATGTAGTATATTTAGTATTTATTTTATTTTTAATTATTAAAATAAAAATAATACTATCTTACTTAATATATTTATTTATTAATATAATAAATGAGAAAATAATGTAATATTATTCAGTATATTTATTTATTAGTATACATATTTAATAAATTATATAATACATTTATTTAATTAGTAAAAATTTAATTAATATAAAAAATTATTAATATATATAAATTATTTAATAAATTATATATAAATTTATAATTTAAAAGTAGTATAAATTAAATACTATATATATATATTAATAAAAAAATTATACTATTTTATTTAATATATTCATGTATTCAAATAATAAATAAAAATAAAATTATATTATTGAATATATTTATTTATTAATTTATATTTAATAAATTATTTAATATATTTATTTATTTAA